TTTAAAAGTCTGAAACGGGTTAATCCGTTTTGCATTCCTTTCTATGCCTTGGTTTTGGAACGCTTTGGTTTTGGAACGGAATTTTCGGAACGTATTGAGAACCCAGGGTACCACTGTAGTATTCATTCTCTGCCATATTCCTGATCGTTACCACAGTTTGTATTCAAACCGTGAGGACTGGAGAGTTAATTTGCCTTTTGAGAGCATCTAGGAAATGCAAAACTGGCTCGTTTGGTTGGATCCTGCTTGTCACTTGCAAAAGCACGGAGAGCTGCATCTTTCGCACTCGTGTCCTGCTGGCCGACTTCCAACCGGGGCACCTCGTTGGCCACTGTTGTGAGAACAGGATGCGGACCCAAATGGGTCCCCTCTGGCCTCATCCTGCAGTCCTTATGTCAGCCCAATGCCACGATGCTCCATTTTCCTTTAAAGAAAAAAACCCCCAAGTTTCTAGTGCTTATTAATGGAGGAGATATATAGCCAGGCATGCAGGCAAGATTCTACCCGATTCGTCAGTCAGATCCTACTTGGGGGTTTCATTTGGGGGGCTCTGACCAGCTTCCTGATTCCACAGAAGCTCCGCCTCCACTGGGCGGGGCATGTCCTGTGAGGGGAGGGGCTACAGCATAGCGCTCAAAGTCGTCCCGCCCCTTTTGCAACGCTAGGGTAGCCTTTCCTCTTCCAAAAAAAAAGAAAAAGGTCTTTATTTAAAAGGGGGGGGGAAGAGGATTTTTGTGGATGGTGTTTCTTGGGCCCCCACCTTTGAATCGCCGTATTTTTCGCTCTGTAAGACGCACCAGACCACAAGACGCACCTAGTTTTTGGAGGAGGAAAACAAGAAAAAAGATATTCTGAATCTCAGAAGCCAGAACAGCAAGAGGGATCGCTACGCAGTGAAAGCAGCGATCCCTCTTGCTGTTCTGGCTTCTGGGATAGCTGCGCAGCCTGCATTCGCTCCATAAGACGCACAAAGGTTTCCCCTTACTTTTTAGCAGGGAAAAAGTGAGTCTTATAGAGCAAAAAAATACGGTATTTTGCTGCGGGGTCTCTGGGCCAGAAAGGCGCAGAAGCAGAAAGCAGAATATAATAGCAGTTTAGCCTCTCAGCCGGGAAGTTATTTGACTCTAATAACCTTTACCTTTGTGCAATTCCACTTTGCGGGGGGAGATGAAAAAGTGTTAGCGGCCCAGGGGGGGCCAGGCGCGTTTTTCCGAAGCTCCGACTTCACAGGCTCATTACGACACCGCCGCAGGATCTGGGGCCCCCGGGGACCGGGTGCGAAAGAACGGCAGGCTCTGGTTCCTATGGCGACCGGGAGGCTGTGGATCTCTCCGCCTGGGGCTGTGCTTTGGGTAGAAGCAGATCAAATACGGCCGGGGGTGTTGGGGGGAGAATGACATGTGAATATTCGCAGGCGAAAGTGCAGTGGAAATGAAATGGCTTGAAATTAAGAGCCACGGTGCAGATAATGAGAACTGTAGTTTCTCGCCCGCCTGGCGCTACGGTTCCCGGCGCCCGCTGCGAGCTATGGTTCCTGGGCGGCTCTGGCGGAAGCCACTGGTTTTTAAACGTAGGGCAGTGGCGTCCAAACTTTTTTTCAAAGAGGGCCAGATTTGATAAAGTGAAGGGCCGTGGGGGCTGACCAAAGTTGTTGACTTTTTTTAGGATGGAAATTGAGCTTTTTTAAGAAAATAAATGGCTGGATAAATGGACTTTGGACATGTGGATTTGGCCATACAATGCCAGGAACTTTGGTTCTTTTAAATATATATATATATATATATATATATATATATATATATATAAAATGAATGGAAAATGTCGTTATATTTAAAAATCTTGGAATATTATATTATATTATATTATATTCCAAGATTTTTAAATATAACGACATTTTCCATTCATTATGACATCAAATTACCATCAGTAGCTTAAGGTAAAGGTAAAGGGACCCCTGACCATTAGGTCCAGTCGTGGCCGACTCTGGGGTTGCGGCGCTCATCTCGCTTTATTGGCCGAGGGAGCCGGCGTACAGCTTCCGGGTCATGTGGCCAGCAGGACTAAGCCGCTTCTGGCAAACCAGAGCAGCGCCACTTAAATATTAAGACTTAAATATTTGTTCCAGATTTCTTCATATTTATCCATTCTTATTTTGTGTCGACATGCAATTCGTTCGTATGTAGCTGATCTGTCCATATTATCAATCCATGTGCTCAACGGAATCTTTTTGCGGCTCTTCCAATTCATGAAAACAAGTTTTTTTGCTTCCAATATAGCACGGTACACCATTTTTTTGACCCCTTGAAATCTCCCACGTTTCCGGAATATAATTTAGAATTAAATTTCCCTAAATATCAATTTCTTTTTTTAAAGGTAAAGGTAAAGGGACCCCTGACCATTAGGTCCAGTCGTGGCTGACTCTGGGGTTGCGGCACTCATCCCGCGTTACTGGCCGAGGGAGCCGGCATACAGCTTCCGGGTCATGTGGCCAGCAGGACTAAGCCGCTTCTGGCAAACCAGAGCAGCGCACGGAAACGCCGTTTACCTTCCCGCAGGAGTGGGACCTATTTATCTACTTGCACTTTGACGTGCTTTCAAACTGTTAGGTTGGCAGGAGCTGGGACCCAGCAACGGGAGCTCACCCCGTCACGGGGATTCGAACCGCCAACCTTCCGATTGGCAAGCCCAAGAGCCACTGTGGTTTTAGACCACAGCTCCACCCATGTCCTTCTTTTTATTACTCTTGCTATAAATATCCTCACCTCGCACCAAAATGATCTTATCATTGGGCAGTTACTGTATTTTTTGCTCTATAAGACTCACTTTTTCCCTCCTAAAAAGTAAGGGGAAATGTGTGTGCGTCTTATGGAGCGAATGCAGGCTGCGCAGCTATCCCAGAAGCCAGAACAGCAAGAGGGATTGCTGCTTTCGCTGCGCAGCGATCCCTCTTGCTGTTCTGGCTTCTGAGATTCAGAATATTTTTTTTCTTGTTTTCCTCCTCCAAAATCTAGGTGCGTCTTGTGGTCTGGTGCGTCTTATAGAGCGAAAAATACGGTAATCGTTTTTTGCATTTTTACTCCCACATCTCCAGCAGTTGTCTGGGGGTGGGTTGGACTAGATGACCCTTGAGCCCCTGATGCACAAAACGCTCACAAGCACCCACACTTTCCATTCAACCCCCTGTGCGTTGTTTAAAAAATTAAAAAATAAACCCTGGCTGTGCTCGCCCCGTTCCCCCTAGGCTCAAAGCTTATTCTCCCAGCTTCAAAAGGTTTGCACTAATTACCCTAATGAGGTCAGGGGAGACCTGGGATTTCTGCCATTAAAAAAGACAGGAACGAAAAAGTGAGAGAGCGAGCGTTGGAAAGGGAGAGAGCAAGAGAGAGCAGTCTGATGGCTGCTTTTATTATATTTTTGAAAGCCACATCTGTCCGCGGAAAGATGGAGGCTGTCTGAATTTCTTCACGCCCCTTTTCCACCCCAAAGCTTCTTACTTTTAACCTTTATTTAAATTAAAAAAACCATTGGCAAAAGGTATATATACATCTCCGCCCCGAGAGAGCCAGACGCACGCTTCTTTCCTTCCTCGGCAGAATTTCTTTTCTCCCTGTCAAAAGCGCAAATCGAAACCACCCCACCCACGAAGGCGGTCAGAAATTAGTGTCAGGGTAATTGCAGAAGGCTCCGCAGGGTTAATGCACCATTAGCAACCGGGTCCGGCGTCGCTAAAAGCCGGAGACAGGTTGTCAAAGGCCGGCCGGGAGATTAAAGAGCTGCCCTCTTCACGGCTGTATCCCCTAGTGGGTGCTCTTTAAATAAGTGTGCGCTTTTGTCCAAGCGCATAACTGTAGAAAGGAAGTCGGCGGCCCCCACTTTGTGCCAGAATTCCCCGCAAATTCCCCTGGAAAGAAAACAGCTCCGACCTCTTAAAAAGCGTCGCTTGTTTGGGGGTGTAGATTAATCAACCTGCAGCGGACTGGTTGCAGGTTGATTAACCGCTAAGATCACGGGTAGGCAAACTAAGGCCCGGGGGCTGGATCCGGACCAATCGCCTTCTCAATCCGACCTGCGGACGGTCCGGGAATCAGCGTGTTTTTACAAGAGTAGCATGTGCGCTTTTATTTAAAATGCATCTCTGGGTTATTTGTGGGGCATAGGAATTCGTTCGTTTCCCCCCCAAAAAATGTAATCCGGCCCCCCACAAGGTCTGAGGGACAGTGGACTGGCCCCCTGCTGAAAACGTTTGCTGACCCCTGACTAAAATGTTTGCGGCTGCTGCTGAATATCCAGCGTGCGCAGGGCCGGATTTAGGTTTGATGAGGCCCTAAGCTACTGATGGGACGCGGGTGGCGCTGTGGGTTAAACCACAGAGCCTAGGGTTTGCCAATCAGAAGGTCGGCAGTTCAAATCCCCGCAATGACGGGGTGAGCTCCCGTTGCTCGGTCCCTGCTCCTGCCCACCTAGCAGTTTGAAAGCACATCAAAAGTGCAAGTAGATAAATAGGTGCCACTCCGGCGGGAAGGTAAACGGCGTTTCCGTGCGCTGCTCTGGTTCGCCAGAAGCGGCTTAGTCATGCTGGCCACATGACCCGGAAGCTGTACACCGGCTCCCTCGGCCAGTAAAGTGAGATGAGAAAATAAGAATGGATAAATATGAAGAAATCTGGAACGAATATTTAAGCGATAAGGCGGGTAGTGGTGGGAAGCGGGGCGGGGGGGAGAGAGGTGGGAAAATATTGTTTTAAAAAGGTGTGGTCCTATGTATATCAGTGTATTCAAATCTGAATTGTCAAATTGTTTTATTATTGTTATTATGGTTTTTGTTGTATGTGTTCTTTGCGGTTGATGTTTGTATCGAAAAATTGATTAAACAATTTTTTTTTAAAGGAAGCAAAAGTTAAAGGAAGGTTTGCTGCCACTGGCTTAAAGAGGGTGCAAAAAACCGTCCCAAGGTAACCCCAGCCCACGCTTGGTTTTAAACAGCGAATTTTGAAACAGAGAAACGCAGGTGAGGATGGAATGTTTATTACGTATCAGCCGGAGGGTTGGTTTTTCCAGAACTATCGAAAGAGGGAAATAACTTCCCTGCAATGCATCAGTCAGAGTTTTAATAAAATAATTGTTCTCGTATTTGTTTTTCAAACTGAAATTTTCAGGTTTGGAACCAGAGTAAAACTGCACGAGTTATCTTCCCAGAATTGTTTTACCAGGCCCCTCCATACACAAACACACAGCTGCTGGTCCCAAATCGAAGGGCGAGCCCCAGTTTCGTTCTGACAGTCCTGTTTCTCAAATATTGCCTTGCCTTATTGGTCCCCAGGGAAAGGAGATTCGTTTCGACACAAAGACACCTGCGGCCCACCAAGAAAGCCGTGTTTTCTTGCCGACTGGTTGTCCCATTTGGAAAACTCTTGGGTTATTACGGCCAATGTTAATCCTACCCTAAATGACATTTATGAGCGTTGGTCGACTCTGAACAGGGATGTATTTAGAAGCAGGCTGGTTTGTAGCATACCATGCCACAGGAAAAAAGAAGGAACTGCAAATCGTTTAGGGGGAATGCTGGCCTAGATTGACTTCCTGGGGTGAGGAAGGAAAGGGGGAAATGATTCTTCCTTCTCATCAGTAGCACGGAAGGGAAAGAACCAACGGCTTTAAATAGCCGCGGTTCCCCCCTTTTAGCCTGACCTGCGGCACAACGTACACCGTTAGGGGATATTGTCACGGAGGGGACGGTTCTGTTGAAATGGCATTTCCTGGCTGCCATTTTCCTTCGCCAGCGAATACGCTTTCTCCAATTGCTAAGCGATTTGTTGCGACGCTGCAGAAGAGCCGAAGGCAGCCGTGCCTCCTGCTGTAAGAGGATGAGCCCAAGGTTTGGGTCGTCGCTTGGATGTAAGCAAAACAGAAACGAAACAAAAAAACCGTTCTGGAACCTTTAGGACATCCAAACACAAGTGGGTCGCCAGTTCCCCTCATCCTAAACTGACCAGGGCTGATGGGAACCAGAGTCCAACGACATCAGGCCAGTCCCTCGCCCTGGAACACAAAAGCACCTTTCCAAATTCCTTAAGTGCCAGCACTGGGTTTTTCGGCACCCCCTGAGCTGCCACCAGTTCTTGCTGGCGCTGTATTTCGAAAGCAGTTTGTGGAACGCCGCTGCAGGCAACCCAACGAAAGGGCGAGGCGATACCGATGTCGGGGAGAGGATAGAAGAACTGCGTGGTTTTCCCGGTCGGCAGGGGAGGCAGGGGAGCCGGTGGCGGGAAAAGGGGGTGGGTTTAAACAGTGGCAATCTCCTTCCGGTTTGCCACATCTGGACCCAAGAAGAGCAGCCGCAGCAAACGTCGCTGATGGTCCCCTCCTTCTCAAGGAGAGGAAATTCCTGGCCCCTGAGCTGCGGCAGACTGGCGACGTTGCACCGGTGACGGGACCCCTGCCCCAAGCTGGAATTCTGATCCGAAACTCTGGTCCTGCCTGTTTTTAGGAATGTGGAAGGAACACAGTCCTGGAGGGCTTGGCGATTCGATCTCCAGAGTCACTACATTCGTCTCGTCGGCCGCGGGGCAAAAGAGGGGACGCCATCTCTCCTCTCCAAGAGCCCCGGGAGGGAAGTTTGTGTGGGGCAAAGCAGCTCCAGGTAACAGGTTTTTTTAAAGTAACAGTTTTTAAAAAAAGGAACAGAAAGGGAATTGATAAAAGTGGCTTCCGATGGGGCTCTCCACCTCCTCTGGTCACTTCAAGGCCGTTGGTCCCGTCATCACCTAGAAAACGAAAGCAAAATTACAGGGAATCTGCCAGTTGCTCTACGGACTCAGGTAAAGGGTAAAGGGACCCCTGACCATTAGGTCCAGTCGTGGCCGACTCTGGGGTTGCGGCGCTCATCTCACTTTACAGGCCGAGGGAGCCGGCGTACAGCTTCCGGGTCATGTGGCCAGCATGACTAAGTCGCTTCTGGCGAACCAGAGCAGTGCACGGAAACGCCGTTTCCCTTCCCGCCGGAGTGGTACCTATTTATCTACTTGCACTTTGACGTGCTTTCGAACTGCTAGGTTGGCAGGAGCAGGGACTGAGCAACAGGAGCTCACCCCGTCGCGGGGATTCGAACCGCCGACCTTCTGATCGGCAAGTCCTAGGCTCTGTGGTTTAAGCTATACAGCTGCAAAAACGACGTTTTAAGTGCCTCATACAATTGCGGCACTAGGTGGCAGTGGTGAGCTAATAGCAAATTCAATATATATTTTAAAACTTTTTAAAAAGCATTTTCAGTGTTTTTAATATATCTCTAGATTCAGTCTAGGATACAGATGCAGCTAATGTCCCGGGGGCTTTCTGGCGGTTCCCTCGTTGTGAGAAGTGAAACAACAGGGAACCAGGCAGAGGGCCTTCTCAGTGGTGGCACCCGCCCTGTGGAACGCCCTCCCATGAGATAAATTATCATTATGATGATTATGATTAAGGAGATAAAGAGCTACACAGCTTTTAGAAGACATCTGAAGGCATCGGGAATTTTTTCAATGTTTGACGCTTTATTATGTTTTTAAATGGGCTGGAAGTAGCCCAGAGTGGCTGGGGGAACCCAGCCAGATGGGCGGGGTATAAATAATAAAATTAGTAGTATGAATAGTATATTATTATTATTATTATTCCACACAAACTGGATGGAACCCCCTCCCGTTAGAAAACCCATTAGGTGCAACAGTAAAAGTTTTACATCTGCACCATAAACGCCTTTCTAAACTTTTATTCCTCAATCTTTTAAACGGTGCATATCAGATGTTTCGTTTTGCCGTAAGCCACTTTGGAGACCCAGGTGTGGTGACAATCGGGATAATTTTTAAATAGAGAACAAAGGCAGCATTGCTTGCATCAAGTTATCTTAGCCGTTTTGTGGATGAATTAATCTTTTTTAAGAGTGTTGGCTTTCAGAAGCCTTCCTTGACCGGAGGTGAATATTCTTTGCCAGCTAGCTATCTACAAGGCTTAGCTTAACTAGGCAATGGCTCACTTAGTTGGCCCTTGCCTTCCTATCTTCTGACCATTGAGCATAAAGGAACTGGAAAACTAGGCTAGGAGCAGCTCATCTCCTTTGGCACGAAGGCCACATTCACCCTCTGGGGGCTACCACTTCTTGAAACCTCTTCTCATGACAAGGGTTGCTCCAATCCCTTGACAAGTCTTCCAAATACATGTATATTGTCAGGGAATTGGGGGGAGAGAATGGGGACTTACAGAGATCAGGCTCCGTTAATTAGCAGCTGTTCTTCCTCGGACGAGGAAGGTGACGAAGGGCTGTCAGGAGGCAATGAATCTGAGAGTGGGGAGCCACTTCCGGGGCCCAGCCACTCTCGTAACAGAGGAAGGAAGGGGGTTGGGCTCAGGAAATGGATATGCTGGGGGAAACGGAAAGCTCCTTCAGTCGAGGCAACTGACTCACCGTGATGGAGACGGGCTTTTTAGCTCTTGTATATAGCGAGAACAAACCAATAAATCTTTGTAAATATGGCTGAATTCCCCGACTCTTATCTCTACTAGCACCCACCAATCATTCCTGACATATATATACATACATAATTTTATTTGCAGGCCGCCATCCCAGGCTCAAGGCAGCTTACTAAAGAATGAAAAAGATATACACAATTGCAACATACGAAAGTTGGTAATAAGCAATCAAAAACACGCAACCAAATCAAACCGTTTCCACATAAAACATGGTAAGATGTAAAGATAAGAAGTTGATATAAATAACAAGAACTCCCAGTACCCCGACCGAACAATACCCCAGCCAAAGAGTGCTGACGACCGCAGCGCTAATATCTGCACCGGCCCTCGTGAACTTGGAGGTGGCGGTTCCCTCACTGTGAGAAGTGAGGTTACAGGGAACCAGGGAGAGGGCCTTCTTGGTGGTGGCACCCGCCCTGTGGAACGCCCTCCTGTCAGGTGTCAAGAATATAAGCAACTATCCGACTTTTAAAAGACATCTGAAGGCAGCCCTGTTTAGGGAAGTTTTTAATGTCTGAAGTTTTATTCTGTTTTTAGTGTTCTGTTGGAAGCCCCCAGAGTGGCTGGAGAAACCCAGCCAGATGGGCAGGGTATAAATTATAAAATTATTATTATTATTATTACAGTGGTACCTCAAGTTAAGAACTTAATTCATTCTGGAGGTCCGTTCTTAACCTGAGGTACCACTTTAACTAATGGGGCCTCCCGCCGCCGCCGCACGATTTCTGTTCTCATCCTGAAGCAAAGTTCTTAACCGGAGGTACTATTTCTGGGTCAGTGGAGTCTGAAACCTGAGGTACCAGTTTATTATTATTATTAAAGGCTCAGGAGTAAACCCTACACAAATCCAGAATCCCTAAGATGGTTGGATAGCGCCTTGTACGCCTCCTTCCGGCATCTCCTGCAGTTTTTAATGCTTAATGCTGTATTGTGTTTTTAATATTTGACTGGGAGCCGATCAATTATTATTAAAGATACACTCACCAGATGAACACACCCCATAGAAGCAGGGGAAGTTAAACACATCCTTGGCTGTTCAACCTTGATATAATCCTGCGGCAGGACTTCGGTGTCACCAGCCTAACACCCACAACCCCAAGGGACATTCATACTTGGCACTCACCGTCTCAAATTCCGTGTTTCAAACAGGGTATCTTCGTCGCTCTCGAGGGAGGCCATCTCCATGGGGTCTTCCGAGTTGGAAAGGAGCCCATACTTTTTCCGCGGCGGTTTCCTCGTCCTGCAAAAAAATGGCCTGCGTTCAGCTACGGTTGTGCTCATCACGGGCTGTGTGTGACGTTAAGCAATTTGCGGAGGTGGCCGGCTTAGCGACATTTCATTTCAGCAGGTCTACTCTTCGGTTAGGGACGCGGGTGGCGCTGTGGGTTAAACCACAGAGCCTGGGACTTGCTGATCAAAAGGTCGGCGGTTTGAATCCCCGCAGTGACGGGGTGAGCTCCCGTTGCTCGGTCCCTGCTCCTGCCAACCTAGCAGTTCGAAAGCACGCCAGGGCAAGTAGATAAATAGGTACCAATGCGGCGGGAAGGTAAACGGCATTTCTGTGCACTGCTCTGGCAAGCCAGAAGCGGCTTAGTCCTGCTGGATGGCAGAAAGTGAGGAGGAATTAAAGAACCTTTTAATGAGGGTGAAGAGTAACTGAAGAGTAAGGTAAAGGTAAAGGGACCCCTGACCATTAGGTCCAGTCATGGCCAACTCTGGGGTTGCAGCGCTCATCTCGCTTTACTGGCCGAGGGAGCCGGCGTACAGCTTCCGGGTCATGTGGCCAGCAGGACTAAGCCACTTCTGGTGAACCAGAGCAGCGCACGGAAACGCCGTTCACCTTCCCGCCGGAGTGGTACCTATTTATCTACTTGCACTCTGACGTGCTTTCGAACTGCTAGGTGGGCAGGACCTTCTGGTCGGCAAGTCCTAGGCTCTGTGGTTTAACCCACATCGCATTACGATCATAAGCAAGGCAGAATATAGAAAAGGTGGGGAGTGGGCGTGGCTTCGTGGGAAGGTTCTGAGGGCCGGGGGAAGGGGCCTGGGGGCCGCATCCGGGTCCCGACCCGGAAGTGCCTTTGGGGGGGGTCTTCCCCCTCCTCCTCCTCTTCCTCACCGCAGCGCTCGGCCGCCGAGGTAGTAGAGGAGGCCGATGCCGGCCACGCCGGCGATGACGTAGAGCGCCCGGTGAAGCGCCGGCATATGCAGGCCCAGCAGCCCAGAAGACGACGAGGAAGAGGAGGAAGAGGACCCGGATGTCGCCGCCGTCGTCGGCGCCGCCTCCGTAGCCGCGGGCTCCCCGGCCGGAGAGGTCTTGTTCCCCGCCGCCGTGAGAGTCAGCAGCGCCGCCGCCGCCACCCAGACGAGCCTCGCCGCCGCCGCCATCCGGGGCTCCGCGGTACGGGTAGGCCGCGCCGGAAGTGGCGGCGGGGAAGCGGTGCAGCGACGGACCGGCTTCCGGTCGGCCGACGAGAGAGTTTCGGGGGAGCGGCTAGAGCGGCGCTCCTCAGGTTCCTTAATCCGCTCCTGGTTTTTTCTCTATGGACCCGAGTTAGGAAAACGAGGCTTTTTCCCTCAGGGAAAGGCCGAGCAGAAGCTGGGATTTGCTTTAAGAGTAGAGGGGAAACCGGGAGACGTCAAACAATAATAGTGTCTGGGGGGGGGGGGAATGGGACTACATTTCCCATGTGGCATAGCGCGCGCCGGCGCCGGCGAAGAATTCGTCCGCCGGCGCGGTGCCTGACGGGAAATGCAGTCCTGGGCGCTCGCGGTGCATTGTGGGGGGGCAGCAGGCCTGAAGAGAATGAAGGACGAGGCGGCCTTTTTAAAGACTCGCTTCCGGTGTGGTGCCTGACGGGAAATGCAGTCCTGGCGCTCGCAGTGCATTGTGGGGGGGCAGCAGCGCCTGAGAATGAAGGCGGCCTTTTTCAATAGCCGCTTCCGGTGTGGAGCCTTCTGGGAAATGGAGTCCGGAATTCGCGGCCTATGAGGAGGCGCGGTGGCTTCTGGGAAGCTCCCCGTCAGGCCCCGCTTCCGCTCCACGCGGTGCATGCCGGGACTTGTAGTCTCAGGCTTCTCCCGGCGCCTTCCTTCCCCGCTGCTCGTCTCCGCTGTGCCCTTGGCGTCGCCATGCTCCCTCTCGGCCGCTTCCTCGCCCGCCGCGCCTGGGCCCTGGGCTCCCGGGCCCACGCCAGGCACTATGCCGAGGCCGCCCCTGCCGGGCAGGCCCAGATGGCCTTCACCTTCGCCTCGCCCTCCCAGGTAGTCGCCATGGCAACCAAAGTGAGGGAGGGGGAGGATTTTGGGGGGGACTTCTTTAAAGACTGGCCTTTAAAGGGTTAACTTGCAGTAGTGGGGGGAGCCTGTGGAACCTCCAGCTACGTGACAAGCTGCCAAGTTGCTAGTCCACAAGGTCGCTTCATTGGAAGGGGGAAAGAGGTTTTAAAGGGTTAATTGAAAGAGGTTTAAAGGGTTAATTGAAAGAGGTTTAGATTTTTCGAATAATATTTATTATTTTCAGTAGATAAACATAATAAAAAAGAGGAGATTAACAATAATAAAGACAAACAAAAAAAGGAGAAAAAAGATACATACCGCATATTACCACTTAATTAATTTTAATTTAAAGAGGGTTAAAGGGTTAATTTAAGGAGGGGGGTAGTATGTGGCTCGTCAGCCTGCTCCAAGTTGCTAGTCCACAAGGTCACTCATGACTTCAATTGTTTATTCTATAGGATTTACATTATAATAATAATAATATTTTTAGTTATTCTTTCTTTGAATAATTACATTTGCTTCTTTGCAAAAGATCAGAAGGAGGGAGATTTAAGAGGGTTACTTTGGGGAGGAGGTGCTTTTGAATTCTGGTGCTGGAGGAGACTCTGGAGAGTCCCATGGACTGCAAGAAGATCCAACCTCTCCATTCGGAAGGAAATCAGCCCTGAGTGCTCACTGGAAGGACAGTTCCTGAAGCTGAGGCTCCAAGACTTTGGCCACCTCATGAGAACAGAAGACTCGCTGGAAAAGACCCTGATGTTGGGAAAGATGGAGGGCACAAGGAGAAGGGGACGACAGAGGACAAGATGGTGGGACAGTGTTCTCGAAGCTACCAGCATGAGTTTGACCAAACTGCGGGAGGCAGTGGAAGACAGGAGTGCCTGGCGTGCTCTGGTCCAGGGGGTCACGAAGAGGCGGACACGACTAAACGACAAAAAAACAACTTTGGGGAGGAGTTGTTGACCTGCAGAACCTCCTGGTTAATGTGGTTTAGCCTGGGCAAGGCACTAGTCCACAAGGTTGCTGGATTGATAGGGGGGAGAGAGATTTAAAGGGTTAACTTGGAGGGCCAGTGGAACCTCTTGGTACATAGCCTTGTCACTAGTCCGCGACGTTGCCTTTCTGAAAAAAGTGCATGTGTAGTTCAAAGATATAAAAGCATCAAAGAGAAGTTTGCCCAAGCTTGCTCAGCTTCCCGTTTAGAATTCAGTTCATCACTGAAATATATCGCTTTCAATGCTTTGAAACTGGAACCTTGGAAACGGAGCGTACCTGGTGGTTCTGTACTTCTGGATTGTTTCGATTGACTTCCTGTATTTATTTATTTGTCCTTTTATCACATCTTCTGTGCTAATTGTGTACTTAAAAGAACATAACAACATAGACGCATCTTTGAAATAAATTGACAAAATTAACTTGCCAGAAGGTAAAACCCATATAAAGTGTGGGTTTTGCAGCCAAAGAGTCTTTGCGGAGCCTTTTAAAAATAGGGATGGAGGGCTAAATTTTGGGGAAGGTGTTGAGAAAGGGCAAGCTGAGGGGTGGGGGAAGGCTGTGGAACCTCCAGCAACATGATCCTGTACCGACCTGCCCAAGTTGACTGAAAGACAGAGCCGTATAAATACGCTGGAAGGCTGAATGCAGAAAAGTACCGTATTTTTCGCTCTATTATACACACCAGAGCACAAGACGCACCTAGTTTTTGGGGGAGGAAAACAAGAAAAAAAATATTCTGAATCTCAGAAGCCAGAACAGCAAGAGGGATCGCTGCGCAGCGAAAGCAGCAATCCCTCTTGCTGTTCTGGCTTCTGGGATAGCTGCGCAGCCTGCATTCGCTCCATAAGGTGCACACACATTTCCCCTTACTTTTTAGGAGGGAAAAAGTGAGTCATAGAGCAAAAAATACAGTAGCTTCTTGAAACGACCAGCAAGCTCAGGTGAGTCTGTAAAGGACCTCTCTGCTTCTTCTCACACGCTCCCTGTCCCCTTTTTCAGGTTTACTACAATGCGGCCAACGTGAAGCAAGTCGACGTCCCCACGCTGAGTGGATCCTTCGGCATCTTGGCCGCCCATGTCCCCACCTTGCAAGTCCTGAAGCCTGGAGTTGTGACGGTCTTTGCTGAGGACGGCTCTTCCACAAAATACTTCAGTATGTTTGGAAACTGGGGCAGGGTTGCGGTTTCGGGTCCTTTGCAGCGAGACCCCCAGTGAACCATGTTAGAAACTCAGATACAGTGGTACCTTGGTTTAAGAAAAAGCTTACCGTATTTTTCGCTCTATAGGACGCACTTTTTCCCCTCCAAAAATGAAGGGGGAAAGTGTGTGCGTCCTGTGGAGCGAATGGAGGCTCCTTGGCCTCAGCGATAGCAACGCAAAGCCTCCGAAGCGCAGAGGGAGAGCTCCCTCCGCGCTCCGGAGGCTTTGCGTTGCTTTCGCTGAAGCCTGGAGAGCGAGAGGGGTTGGTGCGCACCGACCCCTCTTGCTCTCCAGGCTTCAGGGATAGCCGCCTGAAGCCTCCGGAGCACAGCGGGAGAGCAAGACTCTCCTGGCTTCAGCGAAAGGAGTCTGAAGCCTCCGGAGCGCAGCGGGAACTTGTGCTGCGCTGCGAAGGCTTCAGAGATAGCCGCTGCGCTCCGGAGGCTTCGGGTTCCTTTCGCTGAAGCCGGGAGAGCAAGACTTCAGGTGGGTTCTGAAGGCAGCCCTGTTTAGGGAAGCTTTTAATGTTTAATAGATTATTGTATTTTAATACTCTGTTGAAAGCCGCCCAGAGTGGCTGGGAAAACCCAGCCAGATGGGCGGGGTATAAATAATAAATTATTATTATTATGTGCACCATCTTTCGAGTTCCTTGGAAGAAATGGAAGGAATAAAGAATGGTTCATGGCCCTGTTCTCAGCTAATTCTTTTGTGTGTGTTTTCCCCCACCTTCCTTGAAATTTTGCAGTTAGTAGCGGCTCTATCACAGTGAACGCAGACTCTTCAGTCCAGCTGCTTGCTGAGGAAGTGGCGATGTTGGATCAGCTTGATGCTGCGGTGAGTGGCGTGCCTGCCCTCTCTTTCCTCTCCCCCCAGAGACTTCCTTACATACCCAGCTGGAGCCTGTCTTTAAAATCCCTAAAAATATCAGAAGTCTGCTCCACGGTCATGCAGAGATTCTGCTAATTTGAAAACACTTCACATTTTTCTGTTCAGTGTGTGGTATCAGCGAGGTCACAGACAGGAGCATGACTTGCTCCCCATCTGTACCCCAATTTTGTGCTGGCCCAGGAGGTTTGCCATTTTTAGAAGAGATTTTATCACTTTGACACCTTAGTTCGAAGTATACCCTGCGGGCGTGAGCTTAATCAGTAACGTAAACGGCGTTTCCGTGCGCTCTGGTTTCCGTCATGCGCCAGAAGCGGTTTAGTCCTGCTGGCCGCATGACGCGGAAAGCTGTCTGCTGACAAACACCGGCTCCCTCGGCCCGAAAGCGAGATGAGCGCCGCAACCCCATAGTCGCCTTTGACTGGACTTTTACCAGGGGTCTTTTACCTTTTCATCTGTAACGTGAAATATTTTCCAAGTTTGTTTCGACGCCGCGGGAATGACCGCATGCAAGACTTAACAATTGTGCGTGCATTGCTTTTTTGAATTTTTCGGTAGGGTTTGTAGTAAAAGAATACTTTATTATAAAGGAACAGTCCAGTAGGATAGGTGAAATAAAATAAAGGAAAAAACCAGGGTTCACAGCCATTATTTCAGAAAACTTAATAAGTGCATTCTCAAGACAGAGCACATTGAATTAGATGTTGCCACAGAAAGAGACCCGGTGCAGAGAGAATGCAAAACAAACATTATGGATACAGGATGAATTGATGTACTTGCCTCGGAAATTGCCGTCCATGTGATTGGCCTGTCATATGCCTGCCAAACAGAGGCAAAGTCTATTGATATCCTTTATTGAAAAGTTACCGTACTTTTCCATCTATAAGACGCCCCCGTGTATAAGACGCCCCCTATTTTGTGGGACTCAAATTTAAGAAAATGGGGGGAGATGCCAGAATTGTTGAGCTTTTTTTGCGGAGGATTACCCAGGGACACGGGTGGCGCTGTGGGTTAAACCACAGAGCCTAGGACTTGCCGAACAGAAGGTCGGCGGTTCGAATCCCCGCAATGACGGGGTGAGCTCCCGTTGCTCGGTCCCTGCTCCTGCCCACCTAGCAGTTCGAAAGCATGTCAAAGTGCAAGTAGATAAATAGGTGGGAAGGTAAACAGCATTTCCGTGTGCTGCTCTGGTTCGCCAGAAGCGGCTTAGTCCTGCTGGCCACATGACCCGGAAGCTGTACGCCGGCTCCCTTGGCCAATAAAGCGAGATGAGCACCGCAACCCCAGCGTCGGTCACGACTGGACCTAATTGTCAGGGGTACCTTTACCTTACTCAGGTTGGTTGAGCAACCCCCACTTTTTAGCATGATTTTGAAAAAAACATAGCCTTATACACGGAAAAGTACGTTAGTTTCTCTGAAATGAGAACAAACATTCCCGTATGGAACCGAATCATTTAAAGAAAAACTCAGAGACTCTTTCAAGCCCTGTGACATGTTCAGACGATAGCGTTTTGTCTCCATCACCCCCGCCCGAAATGCCCTCCTCGGCAACTGTCACGTTGCACCTTTCCCCTCTTCTGGATCTGATCCCGATAACTTTTGTTCCCCCCTGCCGTTCGCAGACAGCCAAGTCGAACCTGGAGAAGGCTCTGTCGCAGCTGGCGTCTGCCTCCGACGAAGCGGCAAAGGCGGAAGCGCAGATCAGCGTGGAAGCCAACGAGGCGATCGTGAAAGCTTTGGAATGAGGAGGGTAAGCCCAAATCCACGCTCTAACCATTACGCCACACTTTCCCAGGACCCCAGTTCCTGGCACTGAGGGTGGTTCGAAGCGGTGAGAGAGATTTGTTGCTTCAGACAGATTCCTGCCACTAGGTGGCACAGAAGGGCTGGCAGACAAACAAAGGCAAAATATATCTGGTGAGCTTTCAGGCTCCCCTTCCTAAACCAGGGTGCATTAATTGGCTATTCTGTGACTTTGCTTCCGTTCCATCCTGAAAAAGGAAATGATCAGTCAAGGGCCCCAGTGGGAGAAAGGCCACTCTATCCCCAACTCTCTGTGTCAAGGAGGACCGAAAGAGTTCTGCTTTTTTCCCCAAATTTTTTTTTATTAGTTTTCACAATATTATAAACAAGCAGACAAACAGCGGAGGGGAGCCCAAGGGGCTGAAAGGTCGGTGAGTTAGGGACTTCCCCTGCGTATGAAGGCAGGATCTTGCTGTGTTGAGCAGATGGGACCAAGAGTGAGTCCATTCCTGCATTGCTGGGGGGTTGGACTGGATGAGCTTTGGAGTTCCCTTCCAACTCTTTGATCCTATCGTTTTCTCTGTTTCTCTGTTGCAGGAATACCCCGCTGCTTTCTGGAAACGGCCCTGTCTCTCTTTTCCCTCTGGACCTCCTTCTCTTTGTCCATGCAGATGGTTTGGGTAAACCCAGTCAATTTAGCTTTTGACCAATTAAAAAAACGGGTGGAAAATCTGCGAAAGGCCCCTCTGCACCTTCGTCCTTGTTTACATTCTTGCCTGCGGCTTAAGAGCCCTTGCGCCATTTGCAAAACTGTGCACCTGCTTCAGTTGAAAGCCCTTGTTAGCTCAGTTGGTAGAGCATGAGACACTCAATCTCAGGGCACAAGTTCGAGTCCCACATTCCTGCGTTGCCACGGGTTGGTCCAGATGACCCGCAATGTCCCTTCCAACTCTACGTTTCCATAGATCAGGAAGGAGAGGACGTTCTCCCTCAAAGCTGCCGCCTCTAGTCGCCCCACAAAATCCTCTGGAAATGCCAGCGAGCCTAATCTCCCAGGTACTGAATTCCCAGGTGAGCCCAAAAGGCTAGTTAAGCTGTTCATCCGTGGCAGGCTGTGGGGCGAGCGGCTGTTGGGGTCCAGGGAAAGGAGGGAAGCATCACTTTGAGAGCGTTTTAAGGCCTGTGGGTTTAGGGAGAGGTCAGAGCTAGGATGAGACAGGCCAGGACGTTCGCAGTGACGGACTTTTGGGCTCTCACCTCCGACATTTCACACCTGGGTGAACGTTTTTTAGGATGCAGCTTACATCTGCGGTTGCTTTCGAACTAACATTGCATTTTCATCGTCGTAACCTGCCCTGGGACCTTGGGCTGTGAAGGGCAGGTCAAAAGGTAAATGTACCCCTGACTGTTAGGTCCAGTCGCAGACGACTCTGGGGTTGCGCACTCATCTCGCTCTATAGGCTGAGAGAACCGGCGTTTGTCTGCAGACAGCTTCCGGGTCATGTGGCCAGCAGGACTAAGCCGCTTCTGGCGAACCAGAGCAGCGCACGGAAACGCCGTTTACCTTCCCCCCGGAGTGGTACCTATTTATCTACTTGCACTTTGGCGTGCTTTCGAACTGCTAGGTTGGCAGGAGCAGGGACCGAGCAACGGGAGCTCACCCCGTCATTGCGGGGATTTGAACCGCCGACCTTCCGATCGGCAAGCCCTAGGCTCTGTGGTTTAGACCACAGCGCCACCCTGAAGGGCAGGTAATTAATCATAATTATGATAACCGGGGGGTGGGCATCCAGGAACCGGGAGAAGGCTCTGCTGCCAGGTAGCAGCAAGGGCAGGTGACTGGGGGAGAGCTGTGTTAATTTCCCTGGTCTCCAGCAGCCTCGCCTTCTTCTCTCACTTGCTCACCCAGGTGTGTTATTTGGCCGGCAAATGATCCAGCTCCCCTGCTTTGGCATCGAGCCTGGCAACTTCCACGTCACGGTGCGGGGGGGCGGGCGGGAAGGAATAATAAACCCACAAAATCAGCACCCAGCACAGCAGCAACTTCGTGGCTAAACGAAACAGACTCCTTCGGAAAGTGGGGGACTACTCTCCTTCAGTTTTTTAAGCAGAGGTTGGACAGCCACCGGTCACAGTTGCTTTAGTTGAGATTGGGGGTTGGACTGGATGACCCCTGGAGGTCCCTTCCAGCTGTACGATTCTGAGGCTGGTAGCCATTAAGAAGAGCTTGGCTGCTGCATCAGGCCAAAGGGGGGAGGAGGCCTGTCTAGTCCAGCATCCTGAGCAACGGCAGCCTCTCTCACCTGCGGTGATTGCCATCAGGGACCTTGGTTTGCCATCCGGGGCATGGGGAAGTCTCCTGTTGTGGCGCAACTTGGGGTACAGGATCGAGGAGGATGTGGCCGCTCCAAGCCCCCTTCTGAAAAGTGCTGTTTCCCCACCACCGGTTGGAGAGAGCAGGTGGTCTTCAGATCTCAACCAGACCCATGATCCCAGACCCAACAGAAATCACGGTGCCCAGTTTGTGTCTGCAGGCTGACAGGCCTGGGGGGCGGTCTGCGTCCGTCCTGGGCCTTGACGCATCCCGGTCGTGTTCTGGTTGTGGTCGGAAGCATTCTGGGAAACCGTTCCTTCGCCTGTTCCTCACTTGTGCACCGTGTCGCTGGCTGCGTCCATCGTCGTCCTCTGAACCCGTTCCCGTTAACATACGAACGTAAGGAGAGTCGGCTGCCTCAGGCCAGTGGTTCATCTATTCCAGTCTCCTCTTCTCACAGGAACCAACCCGATGCCCCAATTTCGAAGCCTGCAGGCCGGATTACCCTCCTGTGGTTTCCAGGAACTGGGGTTCAAAATCATCGCTGCCTCCGACTGTGGGTGCTCAGAGCACAGAGCCCCACATTGGTCAAGAGATTCCTGCATCTCCAGAGATGGTCGCCGTAGCTGCCTTGCCAGTACAGTGGACGCTCAGGTTGCGAACGTGATCCATGCAGGAAGCACGTTCGCAACCCGCGAATGCAGGCGGCACAGCTATCCCAGAAGCCAGAATAGTGAGAGGGATTGCTGCTTTCGCTGCGCAGTGATCCCTCTTGCTGTTCTGGCTTCTGAGATTCAGAATATTTTTCTTCTTGTTTTCCTCCTCCAAAAACTAGGTGCGTCTTGTGGTCTTGGTGCGTCTTATAGAGCGAAAAATACGGGGTGTGTGTATATAGATATATATCCGTAACAAGGGAGCTTGGGAGTTATAGTTCAGCAAAATCAGGCTCCCCACACCCACCCAAGTTTCTTTGGGTGGCCTTCATCTCTGCCTCCTCGCCATCTGGAAGCCCCTAGCCTCTTTCATACCCACCCACTGTCAAGCGTTTATCAGCCTGGGGCCCACCACCCAACTTGTTTCCCTGGGCCACGCTTTCAGAACAAAAAACACCCTTGCCCCGCTCCGAATTTTTCAAAGGAAGGCATCGGGAAAGGAAGCAGCAAATAGCAGTGCTTGGTTTGCAGCGTAGAACACGACTGCGTTACGATACCGTCCTTGCACTAGGCATCGCTTTTCCCCGTTTCGAAAAAAGCACCTCTCCGTATTCTGCAGATGAAACTTTAAATCGTTTTGATTTGACGCTGTGCTACTCTGGAATGCTTCTTTAATTGCGCTTGAAGCTTGAAGCCAGAGTTTAAAACAGTTGACTTTCTGCGTGAAAATGCACAGAGGTGTGTTCGGGGTTTTTTAATCAGCCTGTCCCTGGCTTGGAGCGGCCATCTAACTAACTACGTAATTACGGAGCGGCGTTGTAAAGAGTTGTGGACTAGGAACTTCGCTTGCGAGGCTGTTTTCGGACCTCTTTTCCCCCACGCAGCCTAGCTCCCGGCTACTGCTAGATTTCACGATCCAATAAGGCCGCTGCTCGTTAAACGTTGCTTCAGAGCTGCCAGGCTGAATCAGGCGCATGGGAGACTGCCTTCCGCTGCAGCTTACGGTTGCTCAATGTTTCCTTCACTGACCGGCACCAGTGGTTCCTAGATTGGGAGCTTTCCGCCCCGGCCTTACTTGCAAAGCAAACGCCGAGCACCCTTTTCCTTGGAAATAAAGCAAGATCTCAGATCTTCCAGCTTCACCTCTCCCCCCAAAGCTTCATACAAGATCCCACTCCTCATGGTTCTGAATTCAGGGCTGGTTTAAATTGGAAAATAATAATAGCAACAACCAGTGCTTTTTCTGGGGGTATGCAAGTGTACGCAATACCGGCACTGATGATAATAATCATATTTATCTGACAGGGTTGCTCCAGCCACTCTGGGCGGCTTCCAGCCTAATAATAATAATAATAATAGACTCTTAATCTCAGGGTCGTGGGTTTGAGCGCCACACTGGGTAAAAGGACCCCTGCATTGCAGTGGGTTGGACTGGATGACAGCTCTACAATTCTGTTGCTCTATATTAAAAACTTCCCCATACAAAGGTCTTCTAAAAGTCTGGGGGGGAAATCATCATCTTGACATCTGGTGGGAGGGCGTTCCACAGGGAAGGTGCCACCACCGAGAAGGCCCTCTGCCTGGTTCCCTGCAACCTCACTTCTCGCAGGGAGGGAACCGCCAGAAGGCCCTCGGAGCTCAGTGTCCAGGCAGAACGATGGGGGTGGAGACGCTCCTTCACGTATACTGGGCCGTTTAGGGCTTTCAAGGTCAGCACCAACACTTTGAATTGTACTCGGAAATGTCCTGGGAGCCTTTAGGACTGGTGTTATGTGGTCTCGGAGGCCGCTCCCAGTCACCAGTTTGGCAGCCGCAATCTGGATTAGTTGCAGTTTCCAGGTCACCTTCAAAGGCAGCCCCACGGAGAGCACATGGCAGTAGTCCAAGCGGGAGATAACCAGAGCATGCACCACTCTGGCCAGACAGTCTGCGGGCAGGGAGGGTCTCATCCTGCGTACCAGATGGAGCTGCCCTGGACACAGAACTGACCTGCGCCTCCATGGACAGCTGTGAGTCCAAAATGACCCCCAGGCTGCTCACCTGGTCCTTCAGGGGCACAGCCGCCCCATTCAGGGCCAGGGAGTCCTCCACATCTGCCAGCCTTGAAAGAGCACTTCTGTCTTAGGAATCAACTGCAATCCTGGCAGGCTGAGGCAGAGACCATTGCACACACACCCCTTGCTCTTCAGCCTGCAGCCCTACCCATGGGACATTCCCGCCTGCAAAGCAGGAGCTCCACCATGTGAGCTACTGGCCTGCTCTTCAAAGCGCCCATTTCGCAGCCGGGCAAACCGAGGCCAGGCGCCTTGATCACGCAGGGAAGCCTCCCCTCCTCCTGCTCTTCCCCCTCTCCTCCTCTTCCACCTGCCCGTGATCCAAACTCGGCTCTTCGCCTTCTCTCCTCCCTCCCGGGGGCCGTGACGCCTTCCCCACGTCATCCCAGGCTCCATGTGGGTTATTTTGAGCCTTCGCCACCCAGGATGTCGTCTTTGCTGCTTTCGGTGCCAAGCAGTCCCCCAACTCCCCTCCCCAACCAACTCTCTTTTTATCGCCGGCGATCAAAAAATAGATTCCCCGGCGTTAAAAGACACAATAAAAAAAAAACCAGCTTCCTTGCTTTAAAGTTTATTAATAGCTTCTGAATGGTTATGGGAAGCACTGCGGCTGCTTCCTTCGCCCTCCCTCCTCTCACTTCCACCCCACACCAAGGGGGGAGGGAGGAAAAAACCAGCTATCCACTCTGGTCTTTTCCATCTTCTTTAAAGGGCAGGTACTGCAGCATGCAATGGAGCCAGGATTGGAGCTGGGACTAATTTAAGCATCCACAGGAATAACCAGCAACAGAGCCAGTCTTCCGAGCCTTTTCCTTCCTCCCCAGTCTCTCTGCCCACCCCCCACCAAAGAAAAACACCCCTTTTCTCCCTTGTACTTCCCACATGCGGGTTTTGATGC